GCGATCCGTTGCCGGTCACGAAAAAAGACAAAAAAAAAAAAAAGATGTGACCACAAATATCTATAATTAGAAGATATAAAGGAATACGGAATATATATATATATATGCTCTATATTATATATATATATATATATATTATATATATAGGAATATGCTATTGAAGGACAATGTTCTGCTATTGGCCTTTGTTGTGAAAATGATGTCTTTTATGACATTTGCAAGTCATGATTGCAGAATACAGCTGACACTAAACGCTGCCTGAGTGGAGATTAGGAAGCCTCATGTCTTCCATGCCTGGATTTATGAAGCAGAGCCACCTGGATGGAAGTTAGAGAATACATCTGAGAGGTAAGCACCGTGTCCCCACTGGAAGAGGGAGGAAGAGGATATTGTCCAGAGAAATCTTCATCTTCAAGTGGTAAAAAGTTAGGGAGGTTATTCCAAGTCATTCATTCATGCATGCATTCATTCATTCAACAAATATCTATTGAAGGCCTACTATATGCTAGAGATATAGGCTTTGAGAAGACAAATATGGTCATGGATTTCATAGGAACTGCAGGAGAGACAGTTATTCAAAAATTCATTTTTATTCTCAAAAAATATTCTTTGCGTGCCTACCATGTGCCACACACTGTGCTAGAGCTTGCAATGAATAAAACAGATGAAGCTTCTTGCCCGAGTAGCTGACATACTAGTATTACACAAACTGTTATTTAATTATACTTGTGATGAGTGCAGTGGAGGAAAAAGAGGAGGGCCGACCCTCACCTGGGAGGTCAGGAAATGCTTTCCCAGGGAAAGGCTATTTAAGCTGAAACCTGAGGGTCAGTTGAGGGGGAGGTGGGGTGGAAGAGGAGGTGGCACTGCAAAGATCCTGGGGCAGGAAGGAGTCCAGATCTTTTGAGAGTTAAAAGAAGGCCAATGAGGCTGCTGAACTTGAGTGAAACAGACAGTGGCTCAAAATGAGGCTAAGAAAGACAGATGACCAAAGCCACGTAAGCCATGATGGGGCTTCTGAGATTTTTCCTAAAAGCAACAGGGAACTATTGGAGGTCCCCCATATTTATCAGCTGTTGGCAGATTATGGAATGTTGCAGGAATGGTGGGGTGTGCTGAGTAAAATTAAGATGTTTTCCTGTCTACGATGGTAATGAAGCCAGACTCACCTGGGGCGCGCTGTGTGTAGGTGCGATCCAAGCGCTTCACGTGTGCCACCTAATCAAATTCAACCTTCTGGCAGTGCCATTAGGGAGGGATATGACTTCCTTCATTTTAAAGGTGAGGAATAGACAGGAGAGATTAGGTAACCCGCCCAACATTACACCGGGCAGCTTGCATCTGCGCCCAGGAAGTCTGGCTGTAGAGTCTGCAGCTTATCTAATAGGCTGTACTGCCACCCTTGATAAGAGCCACCTCTACTCTGTTTCCTTCTCACAATAATCTCGTGAGCTAAGGCAGGGCAGGGACCATGAGGATAATTTTTCAGATGCAAAACGGAGGCTCAGACAGCAATCCATGGATGCACAGCAAGTCAGAGGCAAAGCCGGGACTAGAACTGGATTCTGCATTATTCTTTCCTTGTGAAGACACTCTCCATTCCAGGAAGGTTTTATATTAGAGAATAAACTGAACTCAGGACGGCGTGGTTGACTAGAACCTATACTTATTTTCTTGTGGCCATGGCTTAGCCTGTTGCACATGCACTAGCAATACCTGGGAGAGCAGATCCCTGCCCGCAGAGCCAGCCCACAGAGCCATGGCGTGGCCACAGAGTGGCCACAGGAGGCCTCGTGACTCCTGGCTGCATTCCGTGGGAAGAGCTGGGTCATGCTGAGGAAGGCGTCTGAGGTAGCACGCTGCAGTGACCCAGCCTGGGGGGAGACCGGGGTCTGGCATGCTCACATTCATGGGTTAGCACCTGAGCTCACTTCTGGGCTTTCTCTGAACACCTCCTCTCTCCTTCCCTCCATCCCAACTGGAAAAGACAGAAGGATAGTGGTGGCCTAGGTCAAGTAGCAGTTCTCTCTTCCTCCTTTCATTTTCCTTTGCTGCTTGGGAGACCAAGTACTTCTGGAGCAAAGCAGAGAAAAACCTCGCTGGAAGGACTGAGGAGGCCATAGGGCAGGCCTGACAACTCCTCCATCAGGATCTGTTGGCCTCCAGGGCTTGTGGGCCTGCTCTGTGGAGTTGGCATTTTCTGCTTTAAGAGGGATTGTTTGGTTTGGAGCCTGTTTTCATTTTACCACAAAAATGAGTGACTTTTTTTCTCTCCCTTTAAACAAAGGAGGGCCATTTGGTTTCCATAACTCAGGTCATCTGACTCTTCCTGGAACGTCCACTTGGGAAGCAGGGCACAAAGCCCTTCTCGTCTGCTCCTTGGCTGGGCCACGTTTGGCTCAGGGGCCATGCCAGCCTTTCTGGGACCCAGGCCAAAGCCGGTGGTACTGTGATGTTTATGGGGCAGTAATCCATGCTGAGGACAATGGAGGCCCCTGCTCGTCTGCCCACTGGGCCACCATTTCACTGCTCATTAGCATGGAGTGGGCAGGGGAAATGGAGATCAGGTGGTAGGTCCAGCCGGCTTGGCTTTTGTCTGCAACTGGGGAGAAAATTAGGGAGGGGCGGGAGTTTGAAACCAGAAACAAAATTTTTAGATGATCTTGAAATATTCAGGTGGTAGGTCCAGCCGGCTTGGCTTTTGTCTGCAACTGGGGAGAAAATTAGGGAGGGGTGGGAGTTTGAAACCAGAAACAAAATTTTTAGATGATCTTGAAATATAAACTTCTTTGTCCAGTACCAAGATATTTCAGAGTTCTGTGCATACCCACGACATACATTAACCTAAAGTATTTGTCTACAGGAGTGTGACAATTGAACAGAAGCTTGATTTAAATCAATATCTGGAGATCAATGGTGTCGAACATTCCAGCCTTGGGAGCTAGGCATCCAGAAGCTGAGTACAGAGGACACAGAGAGAGCAACGCAGACTTCAGAGTCAAACAAATCCAGGTTCAAATCCTAGGTCTTCCTATTCCTGGTGTGTGACTGGAGACAAATTCTTCATCTATAAGTGGTGATGATGACATCATTGCACAGAGTTGTGTGGGGAGTAAATAAGAGTGTATCAGAGCACAAAGCACGATACTTGGCACTTAATAAGCACTCAGTAAATGTCACTTCACTTTATTACATGGTCATCCATACCTTTAAATTGACTACAAGAATGTGTAGTTTAAACCACAGGAACTGAAGATTAAAATTTTCAAATTGCCTGACTGCTTAATTACAGTGTTCTAACAAAGTAACACC